TTAGATAGTTTCCTACTTTCACTCAACCAGCGTGAAAGTAACATTAGGTTCACGATGGAAATGGAAGAGATAAGTCCTTACCTTTTCTGGACGTTCTCATCTTTAGATAAGAGAGTAGGTTTGTAAGAGATGTTTATAGGAAGCCAACATATGTTAGCTGTTTCCTAATTTTCTTTCCAACAATAGCTACAAGACTAAGTTTGGAATTTTGAACTCAATGATTATTAGAAGTATGAGGCTAGCGGATAAAAAACATTTGACTAAAAAGTTGCATTTGCTGACAATTATAATCCTGAAAAATAATTATCCTATACGCTTTATTGAGAATAATATCTCTCTACTAAGGAATACATTATCAGACGGAGACCATTTAGTCAAAGATAGACAGATTGAGACCTTTTCCCATGTCCTAATTTTGTAGTCATGCCTTCTCTAAAAAAAATAGGCGAATTAGTATAAAAGTAGGGCATTCAAACCCTCATACTTTCTTCTGTTATGCCATCCGGCTGCGATAACATTTTTTGTTCATGTGGTCGAAGTAAGGAGGTGACATGAAATAAAATGGTCTCAAACTAGTAGGTTTGCTGATTACTGTACGTCTGTGTTTAAAAGAAAAATAAGAGAGAGAGGTTAGGAAATAAGTTGGATGTGAGGAATTGAGGTAGAAAGTTGAGTAGGAACTACTTATGCCTGATTGATAGATTGAAAGAGAGAAAGGGTGTTGAGCCGCCTTCAAAAAGAAGACGAATTTATTTATCTGCTCAGTGATGATTCTAATTTCACTAACATTCGTCCAAAATGTTAGAGTTCATCAACTAAATCAGACATTTCTGATGACCAGTCTTACCTTTCCTTGGAGGGTTAAACATTAATGACCCTTGGCTGAAAGGTTATGATAAATGGTTTTGTAACTTCATTTTCATGCTTACAAGCTCATATCTCATCATCTCAACCATACTTGTTTACGGACCTACGCAGTCTCGGTCAAAGCTTCCTCTTGCGTCATTAGGTCTTGAGGTTCAGAACCTGAGATTTAAACTTTGAAAACTCTGATTTAGGAACCGTATTGCATATAGACGCTAACACGCACAAATACGCATACTCATACAATCGAGCAAAAATAAGAGGATCAGTATGAAAGATAATTAACCAAACCACTCTAAATCAATCTGTCTAGGTTTTTAATTCTTTGGCTTGATTGAGTCTACATAAGAAGTAAGATAGTGTTCTTGATTTAGTGTTAACGTGAGACTTTTACAATAATAAAACCCAGCTCTGATGATGTTCATCATATGATGGACGAAAGCTCAGCACATTTTTACCCGAAACGAGGGAGGAAGTCCCATGGACTGCGTCAACATGAATATCCTATACAAAACAACCGGCTGCAGTACAACAAGATTCATCCGTCCTCATCTGGTCAGATCGATCAACGAATCTCTTCTTCATTCACTTTCACGCGAACTGAAGGTCCGTCTAATAATATTATCTCAAGAGATTCATCGAAAGCCATTTTCTCTTCACATCCACATAGATACTACATCGAAACTCACCAGCAAATCTCATCTTTCTATCGTCTGATCCTTAATTAACTTAATAAAGTCGTAGGAGTTCTTTATTAACAAACTTCCAAGTTTCGAAAATTTGTTTTAACTGAGTACCTATAAATCGTGATATTTTATGCACCACGCTGCCTCTATTATTTACAATAATTCTAAGTGGAGTATCATGCATATGGATTTTGGGCATACCATATGCATTTGAGGATCTAGAGTCTCGCTCGAGAAGTGCATTCATTTTCCACTTTTACAGTTCTCCACTGCTTACACATATTTGCAGAAAACCCTTAAGTCTAACCTTAATGCTTTTTTGTCGGTTCCCTAATTATATTCTTATATTTTCTATCATCATCTAATGACTGACATTTTCTCTACATAATCAGTTTCATCTATAACTTCTACTGCTCCTCCTTTTTCTGCCCTTAATACTAGTTGCTCGTTCTCCTTAAGCTTTCTTATAATAGTCGTAACTGTCCTACTCCTATATGGTGTTTCTACACGGCCATCAATTAAAGGGACAACCCAAATTTTTTATTTGAAGTCCTTACCATTAGGAAAGGCATCGTTTAAGCCCTTTGTTAGGACCTCCTCAGTATAAATATCCAATGAAGTTTTGGATAGATTTACCACTTTTTGGCAACGTCTTTGATTACCCTTTAATGCAATTAATGCGGGTCGTTTCCTTGAGCTAATTCTTATACCAAAATTTCTTAGCTTCGTAACATGTGTCTTACGATGACTACAGTTCCTATTCAAGATCTATCAGTAGTTTTGAAACTTACTCAAACTGAATTTCAGAATAAAAAATAAAAAGTTCATTTTGATATGGTAAATTTAAAATGGTCTGTCTTTATTACCTTAGGACTTGATGAAGTTTTCCTAAAAAATAGCGATACAGATGAATACTCTGTTGAGGGGACTTTCGTTTCGTATGAAAGTGCATGAAGAAGAAATTCGTAAGTCGATCTCACTAGAATAGGACGAATGAATCCCGTTGTACTGCAGCCATTTAGCTTTTATGCGATGTTCCAGTTGATGCAGTCCATGAAGCTTCCAAACGGCTGCAGTACAACGGGATTTATCCTTCCCCTTCTGGTAAAAACGACTAATGAATATCTTCTTCATGCACTTTCATACGAAATGAAAGTCCTCCAACATTGTTATCTTAGGCGATTTATCAAAACTCAGTTTCTCTCTGGTATCTACAAACCCTCGAGAGTCAATCTCGGACTGAGAAGTAAAAAGTTCCTACATGCAGAAACTTGCACATCTCATGAAATATGGTGCTGTAGCAAATGTCTCAGATCATTGACTTTAGCAAAATCTCATTAGCACCCTTAATCACATGTGCGAAATACTGTCTGACTGCATTGCAGGGTCTATGACTGCCTGGTTTTCCACGGCTTCGTTCAATAAATAATTCACCCCTAAAGTTTGCTGATAGTCACTCTGGCCTTTGATGTCTACCAAAAGGCACGACATCAAATATCTGATTTCCTGTGATCTCTTTTGTGGCATATTTCGTTGAGATTTTTCCCCCTTTTCGACTTTTCACAATCACTTGCTTTCGTCTTAGCCTAACATTCTGGCCTGCTGTATTCAACAGTTCATTTTGTTCCACCTATTATTGAATTAATGAAAACGAATTATCAGATGCTCATCTTTCCAGCTTTTATCATTATATTATGTACCTATTTATTTGTTTATTTGTTTATGCATTTTTATTTTCTTGATTGTACTTACTCACTCTTAAGTTCCCTTTTTAAACTGCCTCATCTTTCTCCTGCATCTCTTTTCAGTTTCCACTCATTGATCATCAACCGATCCCCATTAATTCTTCAGCTGAAACTCGGGAGGATGTCAACCAAAAGGATTCGTTGTCGCAAGATGTCAATTCATCGGCCAGGCAACCGAACTCTGCTCCCGCAGACAAGGCTTCTATTATTAATGCTACTCTGATCAGCCCTGAAATACAACGTGCAGAGGCCGTTTACTCTAGACAGCGCGAATTCCTTGATCTTAAAGTTGATAAGTCTGTTAATCATATTCAATCGCGTCTCTTGGAGAAGTTCCGCCGAATGAACGTGACAAATCTGAATCAGACGAATTTCATGCTAAGCAATATCATCAAGGTGAATTCAGACGCTTATGCCAGGCTAAAAGCGTCCCTGTTTAGGATATTATGCTACTC